GGAGGGTGGTGGGACCCAATAGGATAAAAAAATAAGACCTATGAAGGGCGGATGATTCCAGATGGTACAACGGCCATCCACAAACCTCCACTGCCTTGTGGATTAGTCTTTTTAGAACAAAGGCTAGCGGAGAGTCCGTAAACAAACCGGCAGTAGGCAAGGGGAAACCACTGCTTGTATCTTCCCAAGAAAATCATGGATCAAGACTCATTTATAGAATCAGTTAACAACGTAAAGGGTATTCGTGAATCAGAACCGAATCCCTCGTTCGGCAGGAATAGCCATGTGCAGCAGGTGGCATCAGGTCGTCATTCAGCGTCTGCTCGCAAACTAAATAAGCTAAACACAAGAAAAAATGCATTAAGAATAGCCACATGGAATGTCCGGACATTATATCAGAAAGGGAAAATAGACAATGTTAATCAGGAAATGGACAGGATGAATCTCAACATCCTAGGACTTGCGGAAGTAAGATGGAAAGGTGCAGGGTCCATAAGAATAGGCAAAAAGACTTTAATATACTCAGGTGGAGACAAACATGAAAGAGGAACAGGAATCTTGTTTGATGAATTAACAGCAAAAAGCCTGAAAAGTTGGTGTCCAATTTCAGATAGAGTAGTTGTAGCCAAATTGGAAGCCAAACCCCTAAATCTAGGTATCATTCAAGTGTATGCACCAACATCTGAGAGTGAAGTCGAAGAAGTTGAAAAATTCAATGAAGAAATAGAAAAAGCAAAAAGTTATCTATGGTCCCAAGACATCAAGATGGTAATGGGTGACTTTAATGCCAAGGTAGGAGACGAAAGGGTAGACGATGTTGTAGGACCCAGGGGTACAGGGAAACAGAATGAACGCGGGAATAGACTTATTGAATGGTGCCAAATGAATGATTTTACAATCACTAATACATGGTTCCAAAACCATCCTAGGCGACAGTGGACATGGATGAGCCCCGGAGACAGAACTGGAAACAAAATTGACTTCATACTCATCGAGAAAAGATTTAGAAATTCTGTCAAAACATCAAAATCACTGCCGAGAGCTGATTGTAACTCAGACCATGTCCCAGTCATGTGCAAATTGCAGATAAAACTTAAAAAATGTAAAAAGGCAAAGATCCATCCCAAATTCCAAATGGATTTACTAAAATCAGATGAAGAGCTAAGAGACAGAATTAACGTAGCTGTAAAAAATAAATACGAGTCTATTAATAATATTACAGAGGTAGAAGAACTTTGGACCAAAATGAAAGAGTCACTTGATGAGGTCATGCATGAACACATCCCAAAAAAGGAATAAAAAAATCATAAAAAATGGATGAACAAAGAAATATTAGATTTAATGGAAGAAAGACGGAAAAAGAAAAATGATGATACTAAATACAAAAACTTAAATAAGAAGATTAAGAAGAAATGTAATGAGGCAAAAGAAAAATGGATTAATGAACAGTGTCAGGAAATAGAACAAAATCAAACAAAAAATAGTAAATATATGCACTTGAAAATTAATGAACTTAGTGGTAAGAAGATCAAGTGTAGCATTCATGGCTGTTGCATCAAATCAAAAGACGGGGCAATGCTCATGGAAAAGGAGGAAGTCTTAAAAAGATGGTCAGAATATGTTGAAGATCTGTTTGAAGACAACAGAGGAGCGAAACCTGTAATAAAGAAAAACATTGAAGGTCCATGCATCTTACAAGAAGAGGTAGTGGCAGCTTTAAAGAAAATGAAAAGTGGGAAAGCAACAGGACCGGATAATATACCCATAGAAATAATCACAGCCTTAGAGGATTTAGGTATAGATATGACAACAAGACTCTTAAATGTAATATATGACAGTGGCACAATCCCAGCGTATCTCTGTAAATCGGTTTTTATAGCATTTCCTAAAAAGCCCGGGGCAACAGAATGTGAGTTGCATAGAACAATCAGTCTAATGAGTCATTTCACAAAAATCCTTTTGAGAGTTTTGATGCTTAGAAGGAGAAAAAGCCTAAGGCCAGAAATATCTCCAGCACAATTTGGCTTTGTGCCCGGCAAAGGAACAAGTAATGCAATATTTACCTTGTCAATGCTCATGGAAAGGTGTATCGAAGTACAAAAAGACCTGTATCTCTGTTTCATCGACTATTCAAAGGCATTCGACAAAGTCAAACACAAAATGCTGTTTGAAATTCTGGGGAAACTAGACATTGACGGTAAAGATCTGAGGGTTATCCAAAATCTGTATTGGGATCAAAGTGCAGCGGTTAGAGTGGAAGGGGAACATAGTGTATTTAAAAACATTAAACGAGGAGTGAGGCCAGGGTGTGTAATGTCACCTGATCTTTTTAATCTGTACAGCGAGGTAATCCTAAGGAATTTGGAAGATATTCCAGGATTAAAAGTAAATGGAGAAAATCTAAACAATCTCAGGTATGCAGATGACACAGATTTAATGGCAGAATCAGAAAAACAGCTTCAGAGTCTTTTAGATATCGTTGTTTTCGAGAGCGAAGCAA